TAAATAAATAATATCAACAAAGCCTTAACCAATCTTACCCACCCCCCCAAAAAAAAGGAAAGAAAAGACTCAGATCCATAGAATTAGGAATGAAAAGGGTAAAATCATAGAAGTTCCTGTAGAAATTCAGAACATTATCTGTGCATACTTCAAAAACTTGTATTCTAATGGAATACTATGGAAAATGGTGAAGAAATGGACAGATTCCTAGATATATACAAATTACCAAAGCTGAGTCAAGAAGATATAAAAATGCTAAATAAAACAATATTAATCAATGAAATTTAAGATATAATTTAAAGCTTACCAACAAAGAAAAGCCCAGATGCAGATAAATTCATTGCTGAATTCTATAAGAAATTTAGAAGACTTAACATCAATATTTCTCAAACACCTTAATGAAATCAAAAGAATAGCAATATACCCATATTCATTCCTGGAAACAAGCATTACTCTCACACCAGAACCAAAGAAAGAAACAACCAAGAAAGAGAACTTCAGGCCAATCTCCATAATGAACATATATGCAAAAATCCTGCATAAGACACTGGCAAACAGAATGCAGCAAATCATAAAGATTATACACCATGACTGAGTGGGATTCATACCAGGGACACAGGGATAGTTCAACATATGTAAATCAGTAAATATAATATACCATATTAATAGGGCCAAGAACAAAAATCATATGATCATCTCAACAGATACAGAAAAAGCCTTTACCAAAGTCCAGCACCCATTCATGATAAAAACTCTATAGAAAATTGGAATGGATGGTCTTTATCTGATAAAAACCATCTGTGACAAACCAACAGCTAACATCATACTAATTGAACAAAACTCAAAAAAGCTTTAACTCTAAAATCAGGAACAAGACAATGATATCCACTGTCTCCACTCTTATTCAACATAGGCCTAGAAACTTTAGTCAGAACAATGAGACAAGAGAAAGAAATAAAAGGACTAATGATAAGAAAGGAAGAAGTGAAATTATCACTATTTGCAGATTACACTATACTCTGCATAGAAAACCACCAGAGCCCTTCACTGTAGCCAGAACAGTGGGCCTGGAAGAGGCAAGTAATACAAGGGTAGAAGAAATAAAAGCAGAGAGAAAGGGACCAAATCATATGGAATTTTATAAACTATCATAAGGATTTGGAATTTCATTCTAGTGTAATGGGAGACCATTATTATTTTTTTTAAACTGTCCTTTATTGTTTTTAAATTATTTATTTTTATTTATTACATTTATTTATT